GATGGTCGCAGGGTCTGAGTTGGTTTATATGAGAATAGGTGGTCCTTGAGGTACTGCGGTCCTGAGCTGTTTAAGGCTTTATAGGTCAAAAGCAACACTTTGAATTGGGCCCAGAAACTAATTGGCAGCCAGTGCAGTCAGGTCAAGATCAGTGTCATATGCTGAAATCGTCTTGCCCTGGTGAGCAACCTGGCTACCGGATTCTGCACCAGCTGAAGTTTCTGAATCATCTTCAGAGGCAGCCCTGCGTATAAATGTGTTGCAGTAATGTAACTTAGAGGTTACCAGAGCATAGATGACAGTTGTTAGGCTATCCCTGTCCAGATATTGGCACAGCTGGGCCATTAGCCGAAGCTGATGGAAAGCACGCTGTGCCACTGAGGCCTGAGCCTCAAGCGACAACAAAGGATCCAGAAGTACCCCCAAGTTGTGTACCTGCTCCTTCAGAGGGAGTGTAAGCTCATCAAGAGCAGGCAACCTACCATTCATCTGGTCTAGGGTACTGCCCACTGGATTCAGCTTCAGTTTGTTGGCTCGCATCCAAGTCATGACCGAGGCCAGACAATGGTAATGCCACACCTGCAGATGTAAAGGAGAAGTAGATTATAGGTTGCCTTCCCATCCTGCAGCTGTCAACTTTTCTTTCTCTGGTGCCTAAAATTGTTTTCTGAGAGGCAGTTGTGTCTCTCAGAAGGACAGGCCTAAATAGTCAGAATTACTGTTTTTTGTTTAGTGGCTTTTAGTCTAGTTCTTTTAAAAATCTTTTTTCCCTTCTAACAAGACTCTGGAACACTCTGTTCAGCAGCCTATTCCATTTTTCAGTGGTTTCGTCATCTGCACAGGCATTAAAGCAGCACTTCAGATGGCAGTGTGTGAGCTTACTAAAGAAGGCTTGTTCAGAAGAATGGTGTATTGAAATGTTGTTTCCCAGCATGCTTATTTAGCCAGGCTACACATTTTGCATATTGAAGTCAGAGAGAGGATTAAATTGGGCAAGTGTGCCCCCAATCTCACGTTTGACCTCTCAATAAATTGGCCCGTCTCTTTAAAAACAAATACACCCAGCAAACACAAAACACTGACTGTTTTGCATCTTTGCATGTTCTCTGTTCTGAGATTTTTCATTCTAAAGTGATGGTGCCTGTTCAAGAGAGAAGGAACACAATACCTGAATCATGCGATAGAGTAAAGCAGAAAAAAAGTCAATGAAGGAAAAGACCCTATTTCTTTCTAACACATTTGAAGTCTGTTACAAGTGTGCATAAGAGCAAAAGAAGAGTCTGGTGGATCAGGCCAATGGCCAGTGTTAGAAATTAGCCAGGCACCAGGCACATTTTGTGACTGGCGCAGGTCCAATTGTGACCATGTGGAGATCTCTGGATGCCAGGTTGGCGACTCACATCTCCATCTGGTTGGCCGTTCTAACTTTCTTAAGCAGGTAAGCCAGGCATGGCGAAACTTGGCCCTCCAGCTGTTTTGGGACTACAATTCCCATCATCCCTGACCACTGGTCCTGTTAGCTAGGGATGATGGGAGTTGTAGCCCCAAAACAGCTGGAGGGCCAAGTTTGGCCATGCCTGAGGTAAGCAGAACAGCTTATTTATTGCATTTATATCCCAACTTTTCTTCTGCAAGGAGTATATGGTTCACCCCCTTCTCAGTTAGCCTCACAGGTCATAGGGCTGTGGCTGGCCCAAGTGAGCTTCATGACTGAGTGGGGATTTGAACCCTGGCCTCCCAGGTCCTAGTCTGACACTAACCACTACTCCACACTGATTTCCTAGAGTCCTTCTGCTATGAGGCAGCTATATAAGTTAAGTACAGTAGGTGAATTAATATGAGGAAAACAAAACATCACTTAGAAAAATATCTGAATTGTTTTCCATGAAGCTTGAATTTATGTTATTCTGTATTGTTTTATTTGATGTTTCAATGTGTTGTAAAGATTTTGTTTTCTTTAAAATATCAAGCGGTATAATAATGAAATTATTCTTATTATTAACAACAACAACAAATCCCATTGTAAAAAGCGCGCCTAGAAATTCTGTGTGGTGACTGCAACCTAGAACCAGATGCCAATGGGATGTATGCACACAGGATTCAAGCAAGATTCAAGCATTCTTTCTTCCTGTGATTTCCAACAACTGCTATTCAGAAGCATTAGTGCCTCTAACTTTGGAGGCAGAGCACAGCCATTATGGCTAGTAGCCTTCAATAGTCCTCCTCCATGACTTTGTCTTGTTTGTGTGGTATGAATCCATTGAATTATATCTAAGTTTGAAGAACAGACCAGCTTGGTAACTGTGGTGCACAGTAAACCAGAGGTGTGAGATCCATCGCTTTCCAGATGTTGCTGGACTCCAATTCCATCATCCCTGACAATGGTCATTCTGACTGAGGCTGGTGGGAGTTGGAGTCCAACAACATCTGCAGTGAGGAATCTCATAAATGAAGTAGCTTTGAATGAGTAAATGCTGGATTTTCTCATTCAGTTGGAGGCTGTGCTATCCTCTGATTCTTTAGCAAAATTACCAGTGTAACGCAATCTATTACGGTAGAGATGAAATTTATTATTGGAAAGAGCAGTTTTAGTCATCAGTATGCAATCCCTGCTCAAGGATGAGGAAGGCTGTATCTTCTTTGTGGTGTAAGGAGCTACAAAAGGACACTTAAGTTGAGGATTCCAAAGTACTTAATGTACCTTCTATGATATTACCAGAAGTTTTTTGTCCATTAATCCAAAGTGCTTTTAGTTCTGTTCCAAGACAGCTGAATTGATGATAATGAAAGACTGTAGAAGGCAAAGGTTGTACAGTATTGCAGTATTAACATTCATGCATCTCTGCTGTCTTCATCTCTTGGTTTGTAACTTAACGGATTTTTGCAGACACACCTACAAGCTAATATGTAACTTTCTTGTTTTGATGTGGCATGAGGAATTGTGAGTTAGCTAGCAGCCAATACTCGTTTTATTTGGTGGGTGGGGGAAATAACCTGTCTCCTAAATGTATAGCTACTGTGAGATATAATAGTTGTCCAGTTAGCTATACTACTCAACAGTGGCCAAATACCTGACTAATAAGATGACACATCCAATTCCTTTATTTCACCATGCAACCTGTCTTCACCATTGTGAAAAGGGGCCATAGTGTGAAAAAATATGGGGGTGCAGTAAGGATTCATTTAATCTTTAAAATCAAACCTACTTAGTTTGCACTTTCTAAAACAGTATGTGAACTGAAAAGCAGCCATCCTTCAGGATTTGCATTTCTTTGCATTTGCCATGTGTTCTCCAGGCAAGTGGTGTGTACAAGAATGCATAGACTAGGGTAAAGTCTATATGAAAAAAACATGTAAAAAGGCATTCTGTTAGGAAATGAATTCTTCTTTACAAAAATGTTTATATTAGGCAGATTTGTATGCAAACATGTCTATTTTAGGATAAATTTGTTTGTTTGTTTCAAATGCACCATGAACGGTAAGCCAGAAATAAACTGAGAACAAACTTTGGTTTGTTTATGATTTACTGCTCATGGTTTGTTTGAAAGAAACAAACCATAATCCAGGTTTGGATGACAGGAAAAGTCATTCTATGGCTTGTTTGAGTCACGTGGGTGCTACATGGGAAGGGAGAAGCCACATGATGACTCACGTGTTAAAGGAGAGAAATGTTCACAAGTAAGCTATGGTTTAATACAAACAGTGGCTTATTATTTCTAAGGTAATGCAGCCCTTGACAAGAAAAAAGGCAAATCTCCATGCCCTAAAGCAAATCTCTCTCAGGGAGAATCCTACTTTAGGCGCTTAAAACAAAGTGAACAATATCCTCAACTGCCTCCTGATCAGAGTCTTTACTTAAGAGAGTCTAGTGCAGTATATCTTTTGTCAATGTAAGCTGAACTGAAGATAGCATCTCAAAATGAAGAGCTGTAGAACGTTTTCTCAAAGGAATGGAATGTTTAATTCATAATAATAAGGTTTACCACACTCTACATTCTTTATAACACAGTCCCATTGTGAAAACTGGGTATTGTGGATGTCCACTTGTAATTTTACAGGTAGACCGTCTGTGTATAATTTTTTTGTGTATATTTGTGTATAAGATGTTAGATGTTTTTGTTTAAATAACTATGAATAGCCTTCAGTTGGATGTCCTTTTGGTGTATCCTGCGTTAAACGAAGCTCAAATTATTTATTTCTTCAAACAAGGAATAGCAACATAGACCAGAAAAGGACAGCCATGTCAGTAAATAGAACAAGTTAATAAAAGGAGAGGATGCTAAATGATATCTCCAGTCTCTCCGTTAGCTGATTCAGGATTAGTTGTTCTCAAGCCTATCTGCGGAAACACAATAATTTGCCCACAATGTACTCTCTCTCCCAGCTAAACTGCATTTTTCGCTATGGCTATTTGCTCCTGGAACTTGGTGATTTGGTCTATTTGCTTTGTTAGCCAGCAGCTGCGACGGTAGAAATGTTTCAAACAGAAACCTGCTTCCCTCCCTCTTTTCTACAAAATCAAGGAGGGAGGAAGCTGTTTTTAGGGTGACTTCAAAGGCAAAGCCACCTCAGCATGTATTTTAATTTTTATATACTCTGTGAATGGAGGAAATCCCTGGGGTTTTGTAGGTTTCTTTTAAGCTTTCCACATGTACCGATAAAATGAACAAACAGCACAAAGAACGGCTGTCCTTTTAATCCCTCTGAGTCAGGAGTGATGTCAGTTTGCAGGCTCCATGTTTTCTCCTTGAGGGAGGGGCTGGAAACAATCATTTCCCCTGAAAGCTATTACTTGACAGTGGCTAGCGAAAAGGGGGGTAACCCAGGATACGCTCAGCCTCCCTGAAGCCAAAAAATATGAAATTTGTCTGTCGGGGGGGGGGGGATCTAATGAGCTAAGCTATTATCCTAGCAACCATCAAGATGTCTGGAATGTATTTTCAAATTATTGAATTTCTCTCTCTCTCTCTCTCTCTCTCTCTCTCTCTCTCTCTCAAAAGATAACTCCAGGAAAGAAAAAGCTGTGGAAGTTCTTCGCTCATAATTTCTGGAGTACACACAAGAGAACTGCAAAATGTCAGGCGCTTCAGTCAAGGTGGCTGTCCGGGTCAGACCCTTTAATTCCCGAGAGACCAGCAAAGAGTCCAAATGCATCATACAAATGCAAGGCAACTCAACCAGTAAGTTTGGTGCAAATCTTCAGATGGAGTGGTTTTTCCTTGATGAGATTCTCAGTAAATTGGTTACTGTCTAGCTTATGTCATTGACAAATGGTTCATTTGAGGAAATCCTTTCTTTTTGTATAAGTCTTGTGATAGTTTTTTCAAAAGGCGTTATAATTTGCTTAAATGCATTTTTGCTTATTAATACTCTTTCTCTTGCTGTGGATATGTCAAAAGCAGAAACGTGATTTGGAGACTTCCTTCTCTTTGGCAACATTGCATGATCATTTCTGTATGAGTTTTTCTTTGGAAATGGCAGAATGGTTGTCCATTATGCACGTGTGTTTGCTTGAGAGGAAGCTTAAATGCCTTTTGGTCTGTGGCTCCATTTTTGTGGTTCCAGAAGGAGTGTAACAACAGGGATCATCCAGTTTGCAATTTATGGGGTAATTCTGCTATCAGTAAGACAGGTAACCAAGAGGGAGGGAAAGCTGAAGTATTGCTTAGCAACCAGACAGAGTAGCATGATGTTTGCTGAAGTAGCACATCCTCTGATTCTGAGTGTTTTCTGCTGTATGTTTAGTTGAATGACTCCTTGCTATGTACAAGGCCTGAATTGAGAGAGACAAAATCTCTCAAATTATAAACTGGTTGTAGTCAGTTTCCCGGTAAAGTGTTATCAGGAGTACTTTTCTCTCTGAACTCCCATCTGTGTTATTTAAACGAATTTGTTAACAATTCCATGATTAAAGGTGTCCTGGTGTTGTTGTTTTGTGGTCTGGCAGTTTGAACCCCTGGTACACCTGTCATCATAGATATAACTGTCTAAATGGTCGTTTTCAAGGAACAGAGTTGTAAAGAAATAAATGAACAAGCTCTGAGGATCAAGCTGTAGCCGCTTCAGTAGGGAAAGGCTTCGTTTGCATCTTTCTATTGAACTGATTTTGCTGGGAATGTTCTGACCTGCAGCCTTTTGGGAAACGTCTCCAGGCAGACAAAAGCAAATTGAAATAGCAGGTGGTCAGACTTAAGTCACTTCGACCCATTTAATAACTGTGGGAAAGTAGCATTAGAGATATCCTGGAGCCTTTGTCATCTGAGGGTGGGCTTTTCTAGTGTGCTATTAGATAGGAATTATGCAAGGAATGTTCAGAAAAATGGATCTTCTGAAAAGGAGAAAGTGGAAAGGGAAGAGGCTGCTTTTCAGGCGGTAATGGGGGGACTATTTTCACACGCTTTTACGGGCTATTGTCTCCCCCCCCCCCTTGTGTTCTTACTGAGCGGCATGAAGGTGTGTATAGAAATATACACTTCTTTAAAAGGAGTCCATAACCTCTAATCCCAACCTCCCCCCCCCCCCAAATACCATGTGAATGATAGCAGAATATCTCCTGTTCCAGCCTGTCCTGGGTGTGTGGTGTTGTATCTAGTCCATGTGCTGCAGTGGTTAGAGCAGTGGTGAACAACTCCTTTCAGCCTGAAGACTGCGTTCCCTGGTGGGCAACCTTCTGAGGTCCACATGTCAGTGGTATGCAGAGTTGAGGCAAAACGGGTGGAACAGCAAATAGGAATTTTATATTTCATTACTACACACACTCACCCACCACTCCTCTCTATCCTCCATCCAGGTGAGCGAAGGACATTATGTCAGAATTCAAAGGCACATTCTAGCTAGGCAGAAATTCTCTGGGTGTGATGCAGGGGCCAGTGAGGGGTGTGGTGTGTGGCCAGGGACAAGACAGTTTCATCATATTACACTGATTGTGGCTCAGCTGCACTGGCTAGCAATTAGTTTCTGGGCTTTGAATTATAAACAGCTCAGGACTGCAGTATCTCAAGGATTGCCTCTCCCCATATGGACCGACTTGGACACTGTGATCATCACCTTGAGGCCGTTTTTCATGTGCCTCCTTCATGAAAGGTCCAGCGGGTGGTAACATGAGAATGGGCCTTTTCTGCATTGGCTCCCCGTTTGTGGAATGATCTCCCCAGGAATGTTGTTGTGGAACAAACAACAATAACATCTAGAGTAGAACATTAGAGGTTTGTCTGATTATTGGGAAATTGGGAGTGGGGTGAGAGCTTGGGGAGATGTATGATTTAATCCAGCATGGGTTGACTCCTGTGTTCTGCTTTTAAAACATGCCAGCTATGCATTCTCTTTTGGCTGAGCTTGATTGGGTTCCTAGTTGTCTGTCAGTAACAAAAAAAATTAACAAAGTCAATTGACACTGAAGTGACATAGATTATCTCCTTTCTGGGTATACTTGTTGAATATTGAACTGTAATTTTGACTAAATCTGCATATGGCTTTGGCCTGGACTGAGCATAACCATGGTTTGTTTAACAAACCACATGTTAAACATGAGATATTCCATAATCTAAGAAGCCATGGCTTGTTTCTACAGCTTTTGGTTTGTTTTCCAACTGCTCTTTCCTCAGTAGTTTGATGAACGTCTGGGGTGCAGTGGTCAAACAAACCCATTGTTAAGCCATCAGGCTTCCTATTTGCATACTATTTTTTTTAAAAAAGATATTTATTGAAGTTTTAAACAGTAAAACAAACTTCACAGTCTAAACAGTGGTCAAACAAACCCATTGTTAAGCGTGTTGGGTTCACATGCAATGCTAACCCCCACAGTTAAGGGAAACAAGTTTTGTAAGCCACCAACAAATAAGCTCCTGATTGGTTGGCAGTTAGAAAACCATAGTTACACTTCTGGGCAGAGTTCACGCATAATGCTAAGGTTTAGTTTAATATAGTGTGAACCAGGTGTTTGTAAATATTTTGCTTAGAAAGAAATAAAAGTTCTTTTCTGTAGTTTCAGGAGTGAGTGAGACAGCATTCAGTACAAGATACTGAGAAGCCCATGAAACTGCCATGCTATTTCCTGATAAATCTTAATTAGATAACCAGACAGTTTGTTCAGCCCATCTTGTAAGGGCAGCTTAACAATTGCTTGGCATGTTGTGTGGCATGCCTATGCATTGCTAAGGACAAATAGACATTTTAGAACTGTTGGAGATACTGGCTTTCAGCCAGGAAAGGAAGTTGCCTCCTCTAGCAAATATGCATGGATTTAAATCTTTGGAAGTTGCCAATACAAGTTTCTTTTGTCCTTTTTGAAAGAGGGTGGTACTGCTAGAATTTTACAAGCTGTCCTTAATATTCTATGGAAAGCAGTTTTTAGAAAATATCTGTCCTCTGGTATAATCCACCCTGTTTAAACTTGCAGGTGCAATTAGGATTCATACAGGCTGTAATGTTTCAATGCAGGTGAGGCTACATCATGGTTAAGCCACGGAGCCGTAAGCTGTGATCCCTGCCTCAAGTGCTGTGTCTGAACTGGGTATCATGGCTTGTTTTGCTCCAAATAAATGATGTTCTGAAGCTGAGAACAAAGCTTGGCTTCAGATCATTTTATTTTATTTTTTTGAACAAAACAAACCATGACCCCAGTTTGGCCAAAGCACTGAGCCAGGGAATTGGGGCTTGTTGCTACTGCTCACTAATGGGGAGGAATGAAGCAGCAATGATCTGGGCATTCACAGCAATGCCTTAACTAACCGTGGTTTAATCACAACATGCAAATGCAGCCTTTATCTCCTTTCTTTATCTTTTTTTCGTGTGTGTGTGTGTGTGTATAGAATTGCACAGTGAAATCCTGCAGTCCAGCTGAAATCACATGTACTATCTGCATTAAGAGGCTGGAATGTTGGCAGCACGCCTGGCCTGCTTGCAGGGCTGTCGGAGCTGATTGCAGATGCTACACAGCAGAAAGTTGTTGTCATGGAGGATATGGAAATGAGAATGGGTTTGGGTTGCTGGTGGTGGTGGTGGGAAATGGGGGGAAAGCTGACAGCAGAGGTGCCAACTTGTGGGAGAGATTGGGGAACTAAAGTCATGTCAGGATGCCGGAGGAGCAGAACGCCTCAGCAGTGCAACTTCAATGGCCAGAGGTTCCTCCTTCGCCTCCTGCTGCCTCTGCCACCATCCAGGGGCTGCATATTCCCTCCTTCCCAGCAGCAGCAGCAGCAGCAGCAGCAGCAACAGCAGGAGGAGCCAGCCACTGAAGCTGCGCCATGCTTGGCTCTGCAGTTGGCCCTGAGTTTTTTGGACATTGCAGGGGCCTGGCCTCCCTCACAAAAATATTGGGGAGTCTAAAAGGGTTGGGCCCCCAAGAGTTGGTGATCCTGACTGGCAGTGGGGTTGCAAAGTTGCCTCTGGGGTTGAGCATTTGCAGCTTTATACAGCCAAAACTAAGTTATTTGCAGACTTCATAACTGCCTCAAAGCTCCAGTAGCTATTAGGGCTAAAAGGAAGAATGGAACCACAGCTGGTTTCGTGGAGGCAGTTCTTACAGGTGAATGGCTGTTTACCAGCCTTCCATGATGAGCACTCTTAGGCTATGTTCTCAGAGGATGACTTTAGCAAATCTCATCTATTTATTGCTGCTTTGTTCTTGATGAGAGCTGGTGCAACACAATTCTTTATAGCAGGTGTTGCCAACCAGGTGCTCTGCAGATGTTTTGAATTCTAACTCCCATCAGTCCCAGCCAGCATGGCTGTCTAGGAGGGCTTTTTTGGAGCTCATGTGCTTCCCTCTCCTCTTTTGTGAGGCAGGCTGTAATTTTTTTTGTCCAATCAGGCACACTGTAGTTTTATCATGGTTTGCAGGGTTCATCATAAGCTGTAATTTGTTGGTTCAAATGAAATGGACTTACATTGTGACTAGAAACTGTAGTGTTCTGGTTTGAATGGAAAGTGCAAACTATGGTTTGCTTCATACTTGGAAGGAAGTAAGAGAATGGTCTTGTGTAAAGACCTCTTGAAGGCACATTCTCACAGTGCCAAACTATGGATCAGTGATACATTTGAACAAGTCCTTTGTGTAGTGACATTTCTGGACTGCATCTCTCATTACCCTTGGCCATAGGCCATGCTGGCTGAGGCTCATGGGTGTTGCAGGTCAATAGCATCTGGTATGGACTCCCTTTTTGTTTTGTTACCTTCTTTT